TTGCACAAGTCTCCAGGTCCGAAAGGAGGTTAGCGTACACATATAGGTATATACTAGGTTTCGAACGTCGAAATTAGGCTACACGAAGCGTATCTCAGTTGGAAGTCGGTTGTCACCTAGTGACTCAATTACTTGGGCCGTTTAATTGTTTAGGTTCTTACTGCCAATATTCATGTCATTATCGCAGAAACTATATACTATCTAGTGGTCGTCTGTAAGAAGTCACGCATTATCAAACAGAAAGACTTCTAATGAGAATACAGATGTATTTCATCTCTAAACCCGACTAATTTCATGAGATATTGAGGGGCATCATGAGATGTACATGGTATGCACTCCAACCACAGTACACCACAAAGATTTTATTGGCTCAAAAGCCGGTGCGGAGTCTTGATAGCAAATGTTTTTTCTTAGGTGTGTAACTGAAACTGTCCCCAGAATATACACGCAGTTTTCGATGAAGACCGGGGCCTGAATCTCCTGGGAAGATTTGAATACATCGGATTTAGGCTGAGTGAGAAGCCTATAGAAACACATAGGATTTACGTGCCACTCCATTATATTCCTCAGTAAATCATGACCACTTGGCTCCAAAATTATGGAGTAGGCACTAGGAAATCACAGGGTTCATAAAAGTTCGTTGGCTGAATATTAGATATAGAATTGAAGGCAGAAAACAAACGATATCAACACTGAATACAAACTAAAGTGATTAACGAACAATTACACTGCAGATAGAAATAGTAATAAGGTGCGAAAGCTCGTTAAATATATGCACAGTTTGCTTGCATAGTCTATATGTCTGATCTAATAAGTTATTTCGGTTCAAATTTATCAAAACGTAATTAACTCACATATCAGTGAAATGTGATGCATCATCCAAAAATGCCACCATCATGACCTACATATTCGGCATCTGTCGCTTAACACCAGAGCGCTGTATGTATTTTGTGCATCTTGGTTTCCCTATTTTTAAACACCAGAAGGAGTCATAGAAGTAGAAATCATCAATTAACCGATGGCGCATAATCCGTAGGCCACAGATTACATAAACCGTAATAATTAAGTTTCGACAGGAGGGATGCCGAAATTCCTTGTCTTCCGACATTTAAAGTAAATGAAGTAAACTCAGAGGGCGACAAAAATGCACATCCCAGTAATTTCACAACACAATGGGTGGAATAAATTTGAATAGGCAACTGCAGCCGCCTATAGCTTTGCATGAACGGTTAGCCCACATCTCTCATGACTTTCCGGAAGCTTTGATGGAAAGGAGTTTTGCATAAAAATCATCCGCGACGCTTCGTAGATTGGTTCTCGTTCCTCAGTTATAATAGTAGGGCTCTGTTTCAGACAATATGTGAACATATGTTGTGAATATTCTCAGCGTATTTAGTTCCTAAATATTTCCTCTTTGAACAGAGTTTGCATGTACAGCATTTGTTGCATATAAAAAATAAACCAATTCTGTACATTTTTCTTCAGCTCCTTTAAGAATTGTATAGCATGTAGTGGGAAATTAATTAATTGTACTCACGAGTTTATGTGTCGGTCATTTTAAATAATTGTACGATTAAAATGATAAAGAATGCTGAGGAGTTTTGGCACTTTGGTGGGGCGGGGGTGAAATTCTGGTATCCCAGTTATTTAAGCTAGCCACAGTTTGCGTGCAAACTAAAAATATCTGTCGTCACTTACAGTTAAAAGCCTAATATTGTTTCACATGTTTCCTGATACACTAGAAGTTGGAGTGATTGATGCTGTAAACATTAGCATCAGTAACCTAGCGAAGGTTTTATCTAAGAAGTTTCTCCTTTTGAAATCATTTATCATTTTGATCAATCGCGAAACAACTGTTATATGCTACTATTTGAAGAGTTGCAACAGATATAGGCATTTTGAATATTTGCACTGTTTTCACTTCTGCGAAACACCTTCATTGGCTGAGTTGTCGCTTAGATCTTACTTATATAAATGTGTTACATGAGTTCGAACAACTTTCTTGGGACCAGGTGCGTAAAGTCATCTGACGAGTAGGTCGTTTTGTTGTTTTATCTTTGTTTTCGCTTTCATGAACTCCCCAATTTTTGTAATTATCTTGGAACCTCATCAAGTGCGCTTGTGAAAAGACAATTCGTAGAATAATCCCTGACTCGTGTAGGCGAAATATTCAAGCCTTTTGAACGTAATCGGCATACAACTTAGGGACATTTGCTGTAACCGAATGTGTCGAAAATATTGAGTTACGTAACCGCACAGTAATATAACGAACTTCCAGTAATTCTTTGTGCGTTGGCGCATTGATTATTATATTAACAATGATATTTACGTATACATCCTGTGAAGGCCTGTTTTATTTTTTAGCTACTCGCTAATATCGGGGCTTCATGGGGTTCATTGCTGAAGAAAGAAGTTCTCAGTATCACAGATTCTGTATTTTGTGTTAAATAGTTCATAAATTTATTCCTGACTCGTCGCATGCGTATTCTACTTGACGACACTGAGTATTAACTTCTGCGAATGTCAGGAGGTGCAGAGTTAGGAAGATAAGGGTTATTTCTTATGTTGACTAGTGCACCTAGAAGAGACATTCGCCTTTGAACCGTGTTGTTGTCAATATGCAGTCTGCTTCTGTTGTCGTGATAAATCTGTCAGTAATAATTATCATCAGTAAGTACACGTCGAAAGGGTAGAACCTGACGAAGAAAACTAGCACAGTATGTTAAAATTGAAACAGGCGTTTGCGTATGGGAAAACTGATACTTTAGAAATAAAAACATCAAATAAGTGATAGAATTATTAACTTGGTTCGCACAGGAATAGTTAAAGATACATGTTTAAAAGTAATGGCAGCTTTTTAAAAGTTTAGGGGGAAATGCTTTGATGAGTCAGGGCAGAGGTTGAACGATAAAGGTGAATGCATGCATGAGAAACATCAGCTGGCAAGAATACCCTTACTTTGAAGTAAAACACAATCAGGAAAATTAATTCGATGACAAGGGGGACCATTCTCTTGAAAATACTACTTTAATTAGTAACTTGTTATCATTAACTGATGCAAAGTAAATAGAATTTTGCTAGGCTATTCAAGAAAATATGAATGAGTGCATCTAAATATTAGTTCACTCACAAACATGTCTTCTGAGTAAATTAGCAGCATGGCATTTACTTTCATTTCTGAATTATTGAGTAAAAGTGGATATTTCTAGAAGTTTCTTCGCGAAAAGACTGTCTCACCAAATGAAGTAGATATTTTCACATCTCGAGGAAAATGTTTAGATTACCCGAGAGTTTGGAGTTGTCTTTCCTACCATCACAATACCAACTGACTCACAGTTTACAGTCACTTGCAAATCAGAAATACATTCATCGGAGAGAGCGTGCCTCTGACTTCTAGATGTCGTAGTGCACAATGAGGTTCAATAATAATAACAGCTTTGTACTGTACAGTGTTTATATAATGTGCAGAATTTTCGGTGGAGTTTATCACATGACATTCAGTCTTCGTCAAGGATCTTCAAATAGAATGTTAACTGACAATAGATAGTGTGACACAATTAGGTCTGACCTGATATCTCCTCTCTGTCTCCGGGAAATTTACGATTAATAGCTGAGTGCCAGTCATAAAGGGTCGAGGAGTATACTTTGTGAACTAATAATGCAACATAAGAACAGTTATCTCATGTACTGGGGTGAGCTGCCGTCCAGGATAATGCTGTTCTCAAGTTTGGGAGAAACTTGCGAATCAGTGAGCTGCAAACTTTTAAAATACACACCAGAGTAAACAATGCCATATTTCCTCTGATTTAAACAAATTGAATACGAGAAATTATATGCGACATGTTGGCGGAAGTTTCGTTAGCCCGCTTTCTAAGCAGGCTGTCAATATCCAGGTTAGGGTTGGGCACATGTTACCAATTCTAAAATGAGTGCATACGGTTTGCAGCCACGGATCACACTCCGTTACGATCTGTTCGCTGTATCGCATCCAACAGTGTGACGCCAATTAATACTAGAGAATGAGAATCACTAACTATGTGAAAATTTGTTCATAGTGTCCTTTATATTATGTACATTTCGTAATTATAGTCTAACTAGGAAACGTACCAAGTTATTACATGTATATGAAAAATAAGTTCTCTTACAACGGAGATTCGATTGAAAGAAATACCTTCTTGACATAACTTAGAGTTTACGTGAAATAACACATGCCTACATCTCTGCGGGCGCGTCTATGTATGGTATCGCGTTTCAGAAACCTTCCATCTGTATGACTGAATGGGGCACTTCCATGTTTCATGAATACTTAGTTCATTAATTGTGTCTACAGAAATTTCACAAAACAAAGAGCTCCTTGCCGGCATATAGTACTCTACAATGCACGAATTCCCCAGTTTGCGAGTAAATCACACTTTCAACAGTGCCTCTACCAGCTGTCTTGGTTGGAAAAGTAATTCGGCTGTCTTACAGATACTTTTGGCAGGGTCCATCACTATCAAGTAATGTGCCTCGTGAAGCTACAGTGAGGAAACCTTGCAAGGAGATACTACAACTTCTCCAAAAGTTGAATAGAAGCATCTTACTCTTGCTAGAAGTATAGAAAGATGAATACACTATTAACTCACTGCCTTCAACTCTACACTGCTCATAAATCACTGCGAAGCAATATTTTCATAAAGAAGCGCTGCAAATATAACGTAGTTGAAGTACATTATGCTGTCAATGTCATGTACGTCCGGAAAGTGATTACTGCGGAATATCATTTAGAAAGCATGCAGACACCATAAAACCAGGATAGCAGTGGACAGTGATATGGAGTAAAGCCATCCTCATCTGACAAGTAAAATCCTCTTGGAAAGTGTTCGAAGGAAAGTGATAGGTTCAAATAATGGAGTATTTGACGAAATCGTAATACAGTCTTCACAGACGAAAATTGATATTCCTCGGGTATGTCAACGAAAATGTTGTTTATTACATTTTTTTGAGTGAGTTGTTTGTTTAGGCCGTTGGTTTTCTCTCTAGGTCGAGTTTGTCTGTCAAATGGCTTGCGGATAGTTCGTATGGCAGTGGACTCGTCTTATCAAACTTGGAGCAATTTGCCTTATCACATAGTGAAAAGAATATACGAATATTTAGGTGATGATTGCATTCTGTCATCAACTGTATGCAAGCACTGGCGGGACGTCGTATTTGCCAATAGATCTTTATGGAAAAAAATATGTATATTTCCTTCTAGTTTTCCAAAATTTGAAGCTTTCAAGAATCCGATTATGCCTATAAGAATATGTTCAGAGATCAAGTTGGAATTCAATCCATTTGATGAGTCCCACCTGGCTATTGTAGAAGCAATTTTGAATTCATTGTGTTCAAACATCATGTTACATTCCATTTCATTGCGACCTACCGTAAATGAGCCATACTCTGAGTGCGTTGCTGATATCCTGGATAGAATTCCTAAAACGTAAGTGGGTTCCGGTAGCTGGTAAATGTCAAAGTATGCTGACATGTGAGGAATATAATAAACGTTGTTATCATTGTTCAGATGACCTCACTTTTTTGAACTGTTTTCTGTTGCCATCATTTTATTGATTTCGTTGCGATTAGAACCGGGTTCAGTGTGTGTTTGTGATAAGTCTTCAATTTGTTTAATGGAGATTTCAGTTCAGTAGTAAACGAGTTAAACGAATACATTACTGAATGCATTTTCTGTCACAAAATATAACCCTACTTCAAAAGTTTATAAACTACTGTTTAATTGATAGCATACATTCATCTCGGTGACTTAATTGGTAGGACATCAACTCTTAGGGAATAACCTCAATTTTAGTGATTCCATTACGAGTCTATTTTAAGACGTAATTACAGCCAGACAGTACCATGAATAAGGAAATCCAAAACTGACAAGCGTCAGATATGTCATTTCAGCCCTTATGTAGGAAATCACTAAAAAAGTGATGTAAAATAGGCAAGAGAAGGTTTATCAGAGTAGAGCGATAGTGGATATAGGGCATATTGTTCATTTAAGTATATCCTAAGTACAGATGCAACGATTGCATTTCCATTGAATATTCCTTGTCTCACAGCTTGAAGCTTCCCTGCTATTGGCGATATACTTAACTCATAAAACTTGGAATGAAATATTAAACCAGCATAGAGCGTTGATTGTTTCGAAACCACTACTTCGTTTAATTCAGTGTAAACTTCCCCGTTGGTTGAACTGAAGTGCTCGGCCCCTAGGGCAAATGCTTCGACAATGTCTGATTATTTAACTTGCAGTAAATCGGTGGATGGTGACTCATCATCTGGATGTACCTCCGTTCCCCTGTGAGTGATAGTGTTCCCACTGAGGCTCGAACCCAGTACCCGTAGTTTCAAACACCAAAACGTTATCCACTAGACCGCTTGGGCTACGAGAGCCACCCCTTGTTAATCGTCGAAATGTTTGCACAAGGAGCTGACATGTTAACCTGATGCTGAGCACTTCGATTCAGTCAATCCACAGGTAGATCCAAAATGAATTAAATAATTACTAATGCCCGTTGCATGAAAGGTGGCTCTCGTAGCCCAAGCGGTCTAGTGGATAACGCTTAGGCGTTTGAAAATATGGGTACTGGGTTCGAGCTTCAGTGGGAACACCATCACTCGCCGGATGGTGCAGGTCCAGCTGACAATTCCAAAATGTGATGAGATGCGCATTATGGACTCCAGTGCTAGTCACCATGCACTAATTAACAACCTTGTTTGTTCTAATTAGCTTCAGATGAGTCAAACAGTGATTTTGCTTGTAAACCACTGTAATTTAGCTGCTGAAGCGTTTAAACACTTTCCATGCATATGTAACTAAAGCGTAAAAGTGCCTACTCAATGGAGGCATATAAGCCGGAGGTTGTTTTCTAGCTATGTGGGTGACTTGCAGGTCTTAATCTCCAAGCTAAGGTAGTAGTTTTGGCTGTTGAAGTATCTTTAATGTTAAGATGATAAGTGTGGTTTGCACGCTAGCGATTTGGAACACTGAGGTATACGGAAATAATATTTACTAGAATAAAAGTGTGTTTCTTTTTTATTTTAGTCTTGGGACTTCAGCATATTTACATTTTCGGAATTCTCAATATTGAAGTGAAATTCTGCAACATACACTTTTTTCTTGTTCTTTTCCAACGTTTCTTGGATAATAAGTGTATTCTGGTTCTAACTCGTATTTTTATTTATGTTTTGTTTACTCAGGATGATAACTTCTCTGTGTGAAGTGATTATGAAGGCCAAGTGTTTGAAGCATTTTTATTGGGTTGGGGGCTTTCATGACAACGATGAAGTAAACCGTGTTTTGCGATCATTGAAATCAAACCAAAAGCATAATTTATTGTCCTTACAAATTATCAGATTATTTCACATGAATCAATCTATGTTATATTTGGACTCAAAATCTTTTCTATTTTTCAACCTCAGCCAATTTTCTACTAACTACCTACATCTTTCGGAGGACATACTTTTAGTTTTAACCAAGAATGCAAGTCAACTTCGTATTTTAAAACTTTTTGTACAAAATAGTATTCAAGGTCTTCCTTTGATTCGGTAAGTTGGCCTTCATGGTTTGTGATATGAATTAGTTGCATCTGTTTACGGATATTTTATTGACACACCTCACAGTGGCATGGTATGACTAAGGATTGGTGGACCACGTCTCTAAATAGCAGTGTGAAAATATCATAGGAACTCACTGAGAAGTGAATCATTTTGAGCTGTCAAAGTTTGGTAGAGCAGACTCACGAAAAAGAAGAGACTAAAAGCGAGACAGTAGTACAGTTGAAAAACGTAAGTATGAGCAGACATGTACGTGATTTTGAGCTATTAGATCAAAAGTCCTAAAATATTTATTACTAGCATCCTAAGAACTCCAGGCAATATATAGCTCCTTCAAAACCTTAAACTAATGGTCTAGGACTTCAAGGGTTAGTGTTCAGTTTTGGTATTATCATTATTGTTTCCTTTAATTCCTAGAGGAACATAGGACTTTAGCCGTGCGTCTCCATTGCGTTCGGTTCTCTGTTAGAGTCTTCACCTGGCTCCAAGTCTGCCCACACGTTTTCATCTCCTCTTCACATGACCTCCTCCAAGTCACCCTTGCACTGACGACCAACTCGCCGCTTCCCTTTCGGGTTCCACTCGAAGGTTTGTCTAGTGATTTCACTTGATGGTTTCCTCAGAGTATGGCCAATCCACCTCCATTTCTTCCTGCCTATTTGTTTCACAATCGGTTCCTGCTGTGTTGGTCCGCTCATTGCCAGAGATCTCTGTTGCTGATCGTTTCTGTCCGGCCATCTGATTTTGAGTAGCATTGAGCGAAGACAGCTGTTAATGAAGGTGTGTAGTTTGTTTGAGATGCTCTTTATGACGCGCAGTGCAAGTCTCTGACTTCACATTGGAGTTGAAAATCCGGATTTTATTTTTGATGCTGAGTGTTGTTGACCTCCACACAGACCTGAGAGTAGTGAAAGCTTGTCTTGCTTTTCCGATTCTTGCTTTGATATCCTCGTCAGTTCCGCCTGTAGTTGAAACGATACTTCCAAGGTAGGTAAAAGAGGTTGTCGCTTTCAGGTTCCTTCCATTTATGCTGATTGTTGTCTGTTGTTGTTGTTGCTGTCAGTGGTGTTTCCCAGGAATCTTCATCACCTCTGTTTTCTCAATGTTCACCTGAAGTCCTGTCTTTGATGCCTCTTCTGCCAACTTGTTGCTTTTCGCTTGCATATCTTCCAGTTTGTGGGAAATCAGACAGATATCATCGGCGAAGTCCAGATCCTCCAAGTATTTTGTGTGGGTCCATTTTATGCCTGTTTCCTCATTGCTCGCTGTTTGTCGCATTATCCAGTCTACTGCAATCAAGAAAATCATTGGCGATAGTAGGCAGCCTTGTCTTACTCCTGTCCTCATCACCTCTATTTCTTGTTAAAACCATTCATCCTTTAAGTGCAGAGTGGTGTGTACTCCAGTTACGTCAGTTGATGAGCGTCTACCTCACTTTTCTCCTAGCATAACCCATAACGTTTAAAGCGAGTATAGTATGCTGTATGTTCTGTCCCATGCAACTTATTATTTGCTTTCCCAAAGCATGGCAACTTGCAGTGATGGGCTTTTGTGCAAAATACTACGTTGCTAAGTTACGGAAATCTAGTACTCCAACGAAATAACAATATTTGCTGAAGCTGCTGGATTTGGTGTAGACAGTTGCGAAAATGGAAATTTAAAAAATGCTACTCAATAACCAAATGCATCTTGATGGACTTAGAAATAGACCACACTGGTAGTGTGGAGGTTAGTGCTATCTAAAGAATTGAATTGAGGCCTAGGAATCTAATAAGCAAAAACATTTAGTTTTCACGCCTTGTTTTGAGTGTATTAGTCAGGTCTCAGAATACAAACAGTCATATCTTTGTCTTTCACTTGCAACATGCCACTGCTAGGCAGTATTCGATACCACTTAATGGAGATGACTAAGTAAGTACGTTGTCCGGTTCAAGACTCTCAAATTGAGCTTATGTAACTATGTGATTATTTACGAGTTGTTTGCCTATTGTCATTATTAAAGCAAACTTAATATATCATGGTCATCAGGAGATCCGCCATACAAAATTTCATACTTTGAACTGCCCGAGCACCCTGACTGAATCAGATGGTTACCTTAAGATGCTACAACCCCACACCCCACCCCAACCCACCCCGAGCCTATAACTTGAAGCCTGATAGACAAAGCAACAGACCAGCTTCATCAGCTACAACTCTACAATTGTCAGTGACCGAAACAGCTCCACATACCACACCATTCTATCCAATCCAATCGATTTTGGAGCCCATGCATACCACCAGTTCGGAATCAGGGTTTTCCAGCTCCCGTAAGTAGACGTGCATGTCTCAGTCCGGTTGTAAGTGCCAGACATTCGTATTCACCCTTTCACTTTTGTGAAGGGCATCCTCATTGAGTAAAGGCAGTGAGTAGGATTTAGCTTACAGAGACTATTAATTCGTAGTCAGATGGGATCATTTCGAAAGGAAGATGGATGTCTACCTACCCTCGACTGTACCAAGTTTTGTATGGGGCCCATATATGTATGTGTCTGTTTTTGGCTGACAGTACAGTTTCACATAGAGTATCCGTTTCTGTGAAAGACATTTTCAGCTTCTACGTCAATGCGATTGTTGAAATAATAGGAATACATCACTTTTTTCTGTTTCTCAAAATAGAAATCAAGTTTGGAGACATGTACATGAAACACTTCCTAACTTCCGTGTGAATTTATTTCTTATTTGTGTGAAAGATCTTAAAATACTAGTCCAATCAAATTTAATGAACCAACATATGTCTTTCATATCAGATTCTTCTGAAGAGCTTAATGACCAGTTGCCACTAGATTCTTCAATGTCAGCGTTATATTCCATCAGTCACACACCATCATCTTCATCACACACATTTCAACAACAACAACAACAACACCAACAACAGCAAGAATACGAACAACAGAGCTCAGAACATCACTATCATCATCATCATCACCATAATTCACATAATCATTCACCTGTTGGACAAATCCAAATGAATCAATTACTTTCAGAGAGACTTTTGCCTTCTGCTTTGCCTTTGGATTCAATTTCTATCTATTATAGTAAACCAGATCCGTTATCTTATCTTATACAATATTTAATGGATACATTTGCTACAAGTTTAAAGCATTTCTATTTAATTGATACTTTCAGCACAGTATCTGTGATGTCGAATAATTCTAGCAATGTTTTACATAATCCTTCTTATTATACAACCGACAGTCATAATATAATTAGATTTATAGCTAATGCGCCAACAACTACAATATTAAAATCTGATACTGCCATTGACTATGATAATTATGATTGTGTTGACTCTGACTATCAGTCAATGTTCAGTTCCCATTCATCATATCACTCATTATTATTGGATAGTACGAGCGATTTTGATATTTTGAGTTGTGATTCTTCTCATGATTTCTTGGATTATGAAGAAAATAGTAGTAATCATAATTATTACTCAGGTAATTTGTTAATCCCCATCTCCACCAGCCTACCGTTATCTTCATCGTCAGGATCATCTTCATCAATGCCGGTGTTGAGGTCACTTGTATCATCGGAACAACAATCACACCAGTTACCACCGTCAACATCAAAGTCATCTAGTGAAGTGGTTGGTCCTAATGAATGCAATACAAAATCAACAATTGTATCATTAGGAGAAAAGAATAATTCAGGTGTTGTGAAGTCAACAACCGCATTCAGAGACGGTACTGTCAACAAAGCTGGTGATAATGTTGTCAACAGTGCATTTCTTCCAGTGGCCAATTATTCTGATGATATTACTCAAACAAGTAGCACGAATATTGATTTTATGTATGATAATCATCTATACAATCCTTATTATCAAACGCTGCGTGAAGATCCACAATCACTACCTTCATCATCGCCACACCTTATTTTTTATTCACCAAATTTGTATAAAACACTGGATGATGTTGATCCAGACCCATTCGTTATGCTGGCATGGCGATGTCAGCAATTATCACACTTCACACTGATTGGTAAGTTGGTCATTTTTCTTTCGAAATCAGTTTGGTTGTAAAATCTAGCGAATCTTGACAATGCCAATGGTCATTCGTTTTATGATTTAAGCATATATTAGATCAAATCTGTCTGTTTATTTTCATTTCATTTCAATATACACATATATACGCATATGTAACGAAATTCTACTACTCACCTTGTTACTATTGTTCTGTTGACATTTTTCCGTATACCGGTTAGTAATTCCATAACTAAAGTAAGACAGAAAGGTTTGGTATTCAGAGTATTAGCTCTCTGGATGATACTTGACCTAGACAGCTCACTCTTATCGTAAAGATATTAGTAAATCCCGTAGTCAGGGAACTGAATAGATTGTTTGAAAAAATTATCGGGATTTGAGTGTGTCACCATTGTGGACTGTGCCGATTATGGTGTTTCTCCTTACAGAAAAAGCTCCGATAATTACCGGGGAAGCGGTCGGGCTAATTACGACACATAACCAGCATGTCACCCTCGTAGTAACTAAGACTAATAGTCAGGTTGTCTTGTGACGTGTCAGTTACTCCTATCAACACCTACCTAGCACTAAATACACGTTTTTATTATTCTATATGCCAGTACAGATAACTAAATCCTCGATAGACAACCGCAGACCCTACCATATCAGAAAAGTCACTTGAGTGGTGGGTTAGATTAAAACCACTTACCATTATAGTGTAAGTCGTTTACACTACGTTGGTGGTCTGGGGGTAAAGTTGTACTGTTGGCGATGAGGAGTGTAACAACTGTAGTGTTTCCCCAGACGTCCAGTAAGCCATCTGTACTGCCTGCCCGCTTTGGGGATGAGAGTTTAGAAAAGGCCAAACCCAAAAGTTGTACATCCTTGCCTATCCTTCTGTAGTTTGTATTCTGGGGATAAGGTCTTCATACGAAGGTAACTGTAGTAGTCATTCCGATCATAACTAAATTAAATATCTCATTTCACATGTTTATATTTCTGTCTTTTTTAAGTAAAAACACTAATCCATAGACTTATTCATAACAGCATATATATATATCATGTAATTAACCCTCTTTCTTTTATTCTTATTTTAGGTTATTGGTTCAATATTGTAGACATGAAGGCTTTTACAGCTCTACGTGGTACATCACTCAAATCTTTTCATATCCCACGTTGTTGTATTTCAGTTGATGACCAATCTTGGTCATTTAATTTAGATGAGAATTTGAATGAAGTAAGTTTAGTCAAACGAATATGACGTTTACTTTTTCCGTTTAACCATTGCTGTAATCGTTAAAAACACACTAATGCTTCACAAAGACAATTGTAGCTGTAGTTTAAAAAAAAATTTGGATGACTCTATTAAAAACGTCAAAAGGGTTATTGTTTGAATTCAACAGGTTTCAGCTGTAATGATTCACAAACGCTTGGCTTGCTTGTATTTGGTTACTTATACCTGGGGGTTTCGATTTACCGTGGATAATAATTTAGTTAGACAGTAGATTGTGTGGCTATTGCAAGTTTTTTTTCAGGAAAATTATGGTAGACTCCCCTTCCCCTTCTTTAGCTTATCGTTTTTGACAGCTTCGTGTGAATTGATACACACATTTGTAGGTAACTTTGAAAGGATGTCTGTTCGCAGTTAACAGTAGTGAGTTCTGTGTTACATTGAACTTAACCTGTTGATCGTGATTTCGTTTAAGCTTCCATTTTTATACCTTCTAAGAGAGTCTTATAGTGTGCGTCGGTGGTACAGCGGTTAGGACTCTCGCCGACCATGCACATGGTCCGAGGTCCGATCCCTCGCCGACACACACACCTGATATCAATCAATGGTCGGCCTGCAAAATTTGGGCTACCGATATCACATGCTGAAAATTCCATACCTGTACCGAAAATACGGTATGGAATGAAGCTATAATAAAAAAAATAAAAAAAGTAGAGACTTATACACAATATATTTTCAGCTGTCGGGGATCCACTGTATATAATTGAAGGTGTTCATAGGTAAATATAATTTCGTAATGGATTTTGAGCCTTGTAACTGGAAACAGTTTATAATTTCGTACACAGTTTAAACTGTAGTTATACTAGTATCTTGTAACTTTTAGTCCTGTTGCAGATAGTTGTCGTACGTCAGAGAATGTTTTTTTCCAGTCAATTAGATTATGATAACTGTATGCTTTACGTCGAATTTTCAACCATATTCTATTAATCACCACGCGTATTAGTGTTTTGATCTCCTTTAATTAACTCAAAAGTGTGGTTATCCACTTCACTTAAAAGCGAACTGTCAATTTTTGAAATAATTGAGAAGATTTGTAGTTCAGGTGGATGATTTTGATTTTTTGTACATTTTCTTGTATATTATTATTGTCCCCTTGGGTTCTGAGAGGAACATGGGCATTCAACAACACATCTCCACTTTATTATGGATAAAATTTTATTTTGATAAATCACACAGTGGTGTTATACAGTAATATTAACTGATGACCACGTTTCGAGCACAAACTATTGCTGTTCATAATCATATCAAGTTACTCATAGAACTTTTTTCCTTCATTTATATACATGTGTGGAATCGATTAGATATTGGGATAAAAATCAATATAACATAATGTACATTCTGAAATAATAACATGAGTGTTATTGATCAATTACAATCAGATGGGAAATAAGACGAGTGTTTTTATAGTCATAATAAGTTACTTGTTAGAATGTTTTGATGTGTTTGAATTGAAATAGAATTTTTAAGATTATTTATTATCTTCTTCTGATGTGACTGGTGGTAATAATATCTTCCATATTTCTGGTATTTGCGTTGAGTCATTTCTGTTGCATGTGTTGGGTGTAGACTCGATGAACAAGGAATCAGTAATCAACCTCTCTCCACCTACCTAGATTTCTTTTTAGAATTTTAACCCTCTCCCACCCTATTGTGTGGCTGTGTGTTAATGCGTGAAGTGCAATTGCTGAGCTTTTTTCTAAATTACTTATCTTCTCGGGGTCAACCATTGTAACCTTAGCTAAATTCTTATGTTCCAACAATCTGATTACCACGACCTATTGGTTTGACCTATGTAGTACATATTTCGCTGTTATGGCAACTATCGTTAAATAGCAACGAAGTGATATATTTTAGTTTGAATCCATATAATTATGATTGCCCCATTGAAGATAGATATCAGTAGGAAAGATTGAATGAGGATTAGATCGTCTTAGTACTTCCTTTAAGGTTGTTTTTTTAAACTCCCATAAATAGTCTAAGATAAACTTGTACAGAAGTGCATCAACCCAGGTTTCCAAATGTTAAATGATATGGAAATAACTAAGTTAACATAAAAAATAAGCAAATAATTAAATCAATAGTGGTAAATGAAGATGTGTCTACATCTCTCTCGGAACTCATCGTCCGTCTAAGGACATAATCCATTGGTTCTTTACATCTCGTGTATTCCAACAACTTATAGGGTTCGTGGATTATGTTTAGCTTTCAGCTAACATGCAAAAGTATTCTATGGTTATTGACAAATATTATTACTATCTCCTTTATTTCCTAGAGGGACATAGGGCTTTAGCTGCAAGTCTCCATTGCGTTCAGTTCTCCACCAACGTTTTCACCTGGCTCCATGTCTACCCACATGCTTTCATCTCCTCTTCGCATCACTTCCTCCTACATGTCACCCTTGCGCTGACGACCAACTCGCCACTTCTCATTCGAGTTCCACTCGAGCAATGGCCTGGCGTGTGATGTCACTCACTTGACGGTTGGTTTTCTCAGAGTACAGTCAGCCAATCCACCTCCATTTCTTCCTGTATGCATATTTGTTGCACAGTTGGTTCCTGCTGGGTTGGTTCGTTCGTTCCCAGAGATGCCTGTTGCTGATGTTTTCTGGACGGCTATCTGACCTTGAGTATTGGGTGAAGACAGCTGTTGATGAAAGTCTTTAGTTTGTTTGAAGTGCCCTTCGTGATGCGGCGCCAATTCTCTGATCCGTATACTGGTACTGACTTCACACTAGAGTTGAAAATCTGAATCTTATTTTTCATGACGAATAAGTCTTATAAAATGTTTAATATATGAAGCTTGGTAAAAAAAGTGTCTCCAGTAAAAAGGAGAGTTGTGTGTGTGTGGACTAGCTATTTCCAATTGCATTTTGTTTCAAATCTAATCAGATAACACTTATTACGCTTACCTATGAATTCGTTATATAAATGATCTAATAATTCTGTGGATTTATGACTGATTATTCTAGATTTTAGAAAACTAGTAGCACCTGCTACTTCGTTGAAATATCAGAATGAGTTACAGTCAATGCTTGCCAGCAACCCCCCAAGTAGTATAGATGAACATTGGCTTCATGTGCAAGGTGCCATGCAAAGAGCGAGTGTAGCCGCTTGCGGCTTGAAAGAATGCTCCGCCAAAAACCACTGGGTTTCTGCGAGTTCCTTGCAACTCCTGGATGAATGCCGGTCCATTCTGGCTGGCGGCGAATACAGCAATAAGCGAAAGGCGCTGACGTGCAAGATAAGACAGTGTTTACGTAAGGACCGCGAAGCCTGGTGGTCAGAATATGCGGGTGAGATGGAGTCAGCTGCTGCATCTGGCAACAGTCGGAAGCTGTTCCAACTCATCCGAGCCACCGGCAGCAAGAAACAAGGTGTCAGTGAGACGGTCTGTGAGGCAGATGGCAGGCCAATTACCAGCTTGAAAAAACGCCTTGAACTCTGGGCGGAGCTTTTTGGCAAACAGTTTAGCTGGCCACCAGCTCCAGTGCTCCTTGGTCGGTTAATACCGACCCACCCACCGAAGCGGAGGTCCGTAAGGAACGTGGGATGAAGGATTTTGTGCTAGATTAGCATCGGTTGGTGCGTCCCGACTCCCTGGTTGGGGTCCGCGAGATAGCTGGAAACGTTATCGGATATGGCCAAGAATCGTAATCAATGGCGAACGTGTTGCAATTTCCTTCTTTCTTCCCTTCCTGATGATAGTTAACGAATACTGTTCGAACTTGTTAAACATGACTTTTCCTTCCAGATGAAGTTTTTTATCCGTTTTCTACTTATATTTTCACTTTTAATCTAGGTTGTTTTATTATTATTGTGTGGCGCATCTTTCTTGGTGCCATATTGTACCAAGTTTTTCTGCGTTTAAATAATAATAATGAAGATTTTAGAACATTGACATTCACTTTCGATTTCATTTCATTCGCTTTACGCATGAAGTTCATTTGATTACCCGCCGAATAAAGCATATAAAATATTGATGGTGATTATTATAATTATTATTATCATCCATCTTATTATTATTATTATCACCAGACAAATTATCTAGGCAAACATACCAAAAGGCGCGTGCCGCATGTCACACACACATATATATATAAATATGTGCTTGATTTGTATTGATCACATTCCTTGTGATCATTTCTTAGATAATATAGGATAATGATGTTTTATTATTTCAAGTGTAAACATATAAAACTCTAGGGTTCATTGTATTTTGAAAAAAGAAAACACACAACATCTCACGTGTTTTGTCATAAGATTGAAAATAATTATAAATTTTTCAATTTTTTTTTGTTGAATTAGAAAATACAGCCATTTACATTTTGTCTTTCAATCTTTCAATCTCTTCAAGTAATGTAACTTAGTTTCTTAGCCTTTGTTTTGCATACTTGAAAATTTTTTACATAAAGTCATTTAGACTTAGCAGTAAAAAATGAATAGGGAAACACTGGCAGGTTGAAGTTAATTTCTTAATTGCCACTTATAATGATTTCTACTCCTCTCTCTGTGTATATATCTATGTTCTGAAGTTCCCATAAACGACCTAGTACGGCTGAGGATAGGTAGACATCCATCTTCCTCTCGAAATTATCCCTTGTGACCATGAGTTCATAGCCTCTGCCAGCTAAATCCTACTCACTGCCTTCATGCAACGAGGGTGCCCTTCACAAAAGTGAAAGGGTGAATACGAATGTCTGGCACTTACAACCAGACTGGGTGACATGCACGTCTAATTAGGAGAGCTGGAAACCCCTGATTCCAAACTTGTGGTATGTATGGGCTGCAGAATGAGATTGGATCAAATGGTGGAATGGAGCTGTTTCGGTCACTGACAGTCGTAGAGTTGTAGCTGCTGATGCTCGTTCGTTTCTTTGTCTATCAGACTTTAATTTAAAGGCTCGGGGTGGGGTTGGGTTGGGGTGTTGGGGTCTAGCCTCTTAAGGTAACCATCTGATTCAGTCTGGGCACTGGGGCAGTACGAGATTTTGTATAGCCCATAATGTACCCAGTGTGTGTTTTACTAAATAAGTATGTCTGTCTCTGTGTATGTATTTTTTAGATTTAGGAGTTCGGAAAATACAAATAAAGGTAGACTACCGATGAAAATGTTGTGTAAGCCAAAAAATATCTGTCTGTCTCTGTTTGGATTCAACATAGAAATTGGGACCGAAGTGCAGCAGTTCGAGTTGCCACGTTCCAAATAGCACGCAAAGGTAGACAAGAAGATGAGTGAAGAGAATCAATAGAGTTTTGACAAGTATAAGAGTGAAACAGAATGAATAATGGTAGAAAGGAATATGAAAGATTACAGAGACTGAATACATCTGCGTAAGCCATTGACAACGATTTTCAGCCATGTCACCTTTTGTCTCCAGACATTGATTCTTAGAGTCCCGAGGGCCCCAACCCGGAAGTCTGCATCTCCCTACCTGACTCAGTTTAACTGTCAAGGATTTCATGGATTGATTGATGACATGTTTTGTTTGGCCACCACTTACTCTTTTCCAACCTGCACATATATCAGCTAGTAATGCCCGTCGGGGGAGGCGATGGTTAGGCATGCGCAGCACGTGACCTAGCCGTCTCAATCTATGTAACTTTATAGCCTCTTCGATTGATTTTCCCTCTTTGCCCAACACTCTACGCTTAACGTCAACATTACTTACCTTATTATACCACCTAACGTGAGAAGGAGATCGTAGACATCTATGATCAAAAACAGTCAACCTTTCCATGTCTTCAACTCGTATTGGCCATGTTTCAGGGCCATAGAGAAGGACGAAGCGAACTGCTGAGCAGTACACACGTCCCTTGGTTGATAGCCGGCCAAAAAAATATATCAAGTATATGGTAGTAGAAGGGATTGTACAAACAGCTTCTATTGTGTCTTGTGTGTAGCCAAAGCTTTCTCTCTGGATAAGAAATATAGCTAGAAACCTTTCGAGCATCATGGCGTCACCTTATAATATTTCTCTACTGATGCAGAACAATGTGTAAGAACAATCAGCTGAACAATTGAGCTATTTGGTTAGTCTAGTTTCTCCCTTGAAATATAGTTGATAAAAGGATAAATTAGACCAAGAGCTCAATTCTTGGGCTTTTCGTTATTGCACAACAAAAAAGAAAATAGTTTCGTCAATTCTCTGATCTATTCTTATCTTTTGTTACATATTTCATCGCTAGTTGTCACGCAATTTGGGTTACAAGTGGACACCCTTACAAGATTTGGATCTTCCTTCAACTGTTTGGAGTCATCAACCGCCTGATGTCAACGCTTGTTTTTATGAAATTCAGAATTCTTTTGGTTTAGATAATATTACAGATTGATGAATGAATATTGAGAATTACTACTTCTTTTAATATATATACATCGCAAACATCATTGCTGTTATCTGACTTGTTACGTTTATTATTGATTTTTTATTTACCTCTAATCGCGCATATATATATCTCATAATATTTATTCCTTTATTTATTTATTTATACTTATTGGTACAATAGATATTCATGCACACCCCCTACGCTTTGAATTTGATAGTGTTTCACTTTCCTTGGCTTATTTTTCTCTTCTTCTTTCAAAGTAATATTCTATTTGACTAAATGAATCTCTTTTGTGTGTGTGTTTTATCGCGCTGCTGCTAAGATCTGTGTTATATTTCATTTACTTTATGCCTGTTTTTGAGTAGTATAATTTTCTCCTGCTACTGACCTTATTTTTGACCTGGTAAGATAACGTCTCTCTACAACGTCGAATTTATTCATTTTTGGTATGTAGATCCAGTCTGCTTTCATGTTAGTTATAAGGGTATGTGCGCGCGTGTACACCTCTTCAGTATTGTGCTGCATATTTATATCTCAGGTAATGAATTTGATAGTAGTTTCTTTTTCATCTTTTAGATTTAGTTGGTTAAGCTTTTGAGATACAGTATGAATGCTTTCTTTAATCTTTGTTTTTAATGAGGAAGTCGATTTGTCTGATGAAATTTAATTGCCACTCCCCCCACCCCCACGCCATCTGCTTTACGCCTACATACATGTGAATGCACACATTTTCTGCCTTTCACATCACTGTTAGTGTTGTCGAAATTCTCTATATGAGTTGTTGTTTTTGTTGTTGTTATTTTCCCTACCTACGCATATTATATTTATTTATTCATTGATTTATTGTCACTTTTTCGACTATCATTTAGTGTGTAGAGAGATACTACTGATTTATTGTGAGAACTAACCTTTGATTTTCCTTAAAAAAAGCATAGTAAAGAGTAATAGTTTGGGGGTGATATACATATATTCTTTGCAATAACTTGTTATTATATAATGAAAATACTGTTTGTTTCCTTTAGTTCCTAGAGGAACATATTGCTTGAGCCGCAAGTCTCCATTGCGTTCGGCTCTCTGCCAACGTTTTCACCTGGCTTCACGTCTACCCACATGCTTTCATCTCAACTTCGCATCACTTCCTCCTACATGTCACCCTCGAACTGACAACCAATTCGCCGCTTCCCATTCGGGTTCCACTCGAGCGATGGTCTGGCGTGTGATGTCACTGACTTGATGGTTTGTTTACTCAGAGTATAGCCAGCCAATCCACCTACATTTCTTCCTGCATGCATATTTGTTGCATAATTGGTTCCTGCTGGGTTGGTTCATTCGTTCCCAGAGATGCCAGTTGCTGTTGTTTTTTGGACAGCCATCTGATCTTGAGTAGTATTGAGCGAAGACAGCTGTCGATGAAGGTGTGTAGTTTGTTTGAAGTGCCCTTCGTGATGCGGCGCCAGTTCTCTGATTCGTATAGTAGTACTGACTTCCAGTTAAAGCTGAAAATCCGGATCTTATTTTTCATGCTGAATGCTGTTGACCTCGACACAGACTTGAGAGTAATGAAACCTTTCTTCGCTTTGGTATCCTAATCAGTTCCGTCCGCCTGTCGTTGAAACGATGCTTACCAGGTAGGTAAAAGAGGTTGCTTCTTTCAGATTCTTCCCATTTATCCCGATTTATATATATATATATATATATATATATATATAGTATGTTTAATGTACACCGAAACATTAGGAAATGTTTCATTACTTTGCGACTATGGTTTTTGTTGGGATTTGTGGTCGACAGCATATTTTAGATTATTTGAATCGATTCTCAGCTGAGAAAGATAAACTGAAATATTTCTGAAAATGTCGAGAAGAATTCATTTTGTCCGCGTCTCTGCTTATTGGGATATATATTATCTGCGTGCTCTCAGTTAATAACCTCTCCTATTGGATATTCCATTCCTCGGATAGTAAAGCTAAATGGCTGTTTTAGGTCAACGCCGCTAAGTCTATCTTCTAGGTGTTTCAGGGTAATAGACAGGAAGTTCTGGACTAAGGTTTTGTGCTTGTTGGTATTCGACAGTAAGGAGTATCCGCAACGTTGAAGGAACTCATATATTTCAGGATTTATCGAAGTCTGGAGATTTTTAAAAAATTTTTATTGTCTAACCGTTTGGTTCTGATCTTTGACTGTACCTTACAATGGAGGCAGATTTTTCGATATCAGACAGAAGTGAATGAATGAAGAAAATTTCTATATATGCATCCCATTCAGCCAGAGAATCGATATTTATCAAAGTTGGACTTCAGTTAAACACCGAAGTCTCCTCATAAATACCCCAGCCATGTGGCGCGAGGAATTACTGATTTGCTGTCCTGCTTGGATATCGTTTTACTCAGCATACCTTTTCTAGACGGGATCTTCGTGACTGACACGTACTACCTATTGCTGATGCCTTTCCGTCAGCTTCCATCACCCCCATCATTGTATTAGGAAAACTTTTAGTCAGCTTACATTTGGCTAACTTGCTCTTCGTCAGTTTTGGAGACCGGCGTTATGTGTCTCTTTGCCTAAATTACTCCTGGTAAGACAGCAGTGCTTGTTGACTATAGGTCATCAATTATCTTCTTCACCAATTTTCTAACAGACTGGATGGAAATTTCTGAGTTTGATCTAGTGGGGCGTGTTTTTTAAACTTTTTATAGGGTGTGTGCACTGAGATTTCTAGTGTGGTGTTGGCAGGATGAATACACGTCCTCTTGAGTGAAACGGGCTACTACAAATTATGTCATGACTACTCGCCCAGTGTTGTTGTCATTTAATGAAATACAATCGACGCATTCGATTTGAGTGATGATATCCGATATATGATCTCTGCTTGTAACCAGGAAGTTTTGTCAGACTTCAGGTGGAAATCAGTTTATACTAGTAGTAGTAGTGTGGTGAGTGCTACTTATAATCAGATATAAGTAGTATTAAATGTTTTGGACACTGGAAAAAGCAATCGAAGAACAGAACTGTGAGAAGAACGTTGGAAACACTGTTCAGAATCCAACAAGAAGCTATCGAATGTGGTGATATTCGACTGATTTGCAAATTATGTGCAAATAAAGCATTGTAGATATGGTATACCAAATTTATGTATTTACAGTAAGTGTGTCCTAATAAACATTCCTTCGAGCCTCATCGGTCTTTTCTTCCTTACAGTAGTAGTAGTAGAGCGCGCCACACTGCTGCGCAGCAATAATCAAATATTGTGGCTGAACATAGTCAATCACTGCTATTGAGGTGGGAGAAGTACGGCTGGAAACTTTATATTATAGCATGAATGATTTCATTGACGTAATTGGAATGGAAATGGGGTAAGTCAGTCAATAGGAAGGTGAAAAAAGCGCTAAATTGATTTAATATTTAGGGCATGTCAACTAACCGATATGTCTTCGATGTAATGGTTCCGCATTCATTTCTCTGCTTCACAGCACCCTGGCAGTTTTCTTGCCTTTGTTTATCAGTATAGATGTACAGATTAGAAATACGCGCTTTTTTCACACCGTACAGTCTTACAGGATTTCTATAACCACTGTACAAGTCTAAAGATGCTAGACAAAATAATGTTATAAAGTAAAACAGACGGCTATCTAATTATCTGAACATCCTGTTCTCTAATATGGTGCTAATTGAATCATTGGAGAAGCTTTACCTAAAATATTAATTGTCACATAGACACTTGGATAATTATTTTGTTGGCTAGACTCTAACTCTGCTTCAGGAAGGTATGGGAGACTGAGGATGCACCGTGAATGTGGAATGAAGCCTTTATTGTTTCCATCTTTAAAAAGAGTCGATGTAACATACGTGACAATCATAGGGGTACCAGTCTGCTAAAATATTGACTGCTATCTTGCTTCGCAGGCTGTGCAAAACACGTGAGGAATTGATTCGCGAAGGGCAGGCTGGGTTTCGTTCAGGCCGTGAATGCATTTATCATGTGTCCACCCTTCGTCAGTTGTTGAAACACCGCCACACGTATTGCAGGGTAACGATCGTTGGATAGAACTCTGCTCTGGAACTGTCTGTTAGAGAGGTGTGTACCTGAGAAGCTTTTGAACATCCTGAAAGTCCTAAACAGAAACACCTCAGGTAGAGTGAGGGCATGCAACCAACTATCATCACTGTTCCCAACCAACAGTGGGGTTAGACAGGGTTGCCTGATTTCCCGATTTCTCTTTAACATTGCCATTGATGACATTCTAAAGTCAGCTCTGAAGGACGTGCGGGAAGGTGGTGTAGATCTGCTCCCTGGAGAAAGACTTTTAGACATCGAGTATGCAGACGATATCATCTTACTGTGCGATAGGATGCAGGCTGCCCAAATTGCACTTAATCAGTTGGCGATCAGTGTCTGTAAGTATGATATGTGCTTTGCACCATCTAAGTGCAAAGTACTGTTACAAGATTGGCAGGAGCCTGTACCTGCACTCACTCTTGCAGGTGAACATCTTGAAGTTGTTGATAAGTTTGTGTATCTTGGTAGTTGTTTGAGTGCTGGCGGAGGGGTTATGGATGAGATTTCCAACCGTATCATGAAGGCTAGGGTGGCATATGTTAACTTTAGCCGTCTCTGGCGCCATCCCGACGTTAGCCTGGCTGTCAAAGGTCGGGTATACAATGCTTCGGTGCGGTCTGTGTTGCTCTACGCCTGTGAAACCTGACCTCTGTTAGCTAAGGATGTACGGTGACTCTGCATATTCGATCATTGCTGTCTCCGTAGAACTGCTTGCGTCCGAAGGTATCATCTTGTGAGTAACTCTGAAGTCCGGAGTGGGGGATAACCATTCTTTGAGTGTTATCACCTGGAAACACCGGCTTCGGTGGCTTGGACATGTGCTGCTAATGTCATCCCAGAGGCTTTCGTACTAGTCTCTATTTGCTAGACCTGGGGCGGGTAGGAAAAAGCGGAGAGGTGGTCAGCTCATGACGTGGCGTCGTCGGATGAAGGATATTTTTGCTAGGTTAGCGTCGGTTCGTGCGTCACAGCTTCCTAGTCGGGTTCCGAGAGATATCTCGAATCGGTGGCTCAGAACATTATCAGATATAGCCCATAATCGCAGTCAATGGCGAACGGACTTTACTGTACTGTACTGTAACTTCCTTCTTTCATCCCTTTCCGACGATAATTGACGAATGCTATTTGAAATTGTTAAATATGACTGTTTTCCTTCCGGATGAAGTGCTTTATTCGTTCTCTACCTATATAATTACCCTTAATCTATGTTGTTTTATTATTTTTATTATCGTGCGGCGTATCTCCTCGGTGCCATATTTGTACCAAGTTTTTCTACGTTTAATAAATAAATGCTTTAATTTGCACAAAACTCTTTTTTAAAGTGATGATAATTTTCATTTTTCATCATTTCTATGAAATTTGTTAAATCATACCACTTTGATAGTTTATAAAAAAACAAGCACATACTTTATTAAGAATGAATTTATTACCAAAACCTTTTTTTTAAATTTTCGTTTAAACAAAAAAACAATGTGTTATTTAAAAACAAAAGAAAAATTATCAAGTTTTATTCATCAATTACTTCGCCTTCTGAATCATAGGTGAAACCTGTAAATACAAATAATAATACAGGTATAAACTAGATGATTATGTGAAACATAAGACTTGCGTATCAGATTAATTTTTCATTCTAAAACTTGTTTTTCTTGTTTTTTTTGCTTTTGTGAATGCCTTTCATTAAAATGTGCAAGCCAAAGACATAAATCTATTGTAAATGCTATCTGCCATTTTTTTTCCTTCACGTTCCCAGTGAAACATAGGGCTTCAAGCTAGTGGCTTGAAATTTCTGTAGCAGTGTTTATTTTTGCAGGATGGGGTTGCTAGCCTCATGCCCAACCTTTCCTCTTTACCAGCATTACTTCTGGCTTAACGAGGTAAAGGAGTGCGTCTGTGACCGGGGATCGAACCCCGGACCATGTGCATGGTCGGTGAGCGTCCTAACCGCTGTGCCACCGACGCACACCTATCTGCCATACTGTAATCGATTTGTATACTTAAACTCCATTTAGAGCATAGGATTTATTCTAATATATATATTTATGAGGTAATGAACTGAATGCGTCGGTGGTACATCGGTAGATTACCCGCCAACCACGTAGGTGGTTTGGAGTTCAATCACCCGGTCGACGTCGCACTCCTTTACCTTGTTAAGCAAGTAGTAAGACTGGTAAAGAAGGAAGGCTGGGCATGAGGCTAACAGTCCCATCTCGTAAAAATAAAACACCACTACTACTGAAACTTTAAGCCTCTAGCTTGAAGCCGTCCTATGTTCCACGGGGAATGTAAAGGAATAATGATGAACTCATTTCTGATGAACTGAAAAACACTAACACCTACTCCTGAGTATGTCATACTTCGTAGAACTCTGAAGACTATCAGTAGGACGAGCGGTATCCCATTGGGCCATATCGTTGACATTGTCACTGATAGGCACCTGATGTCATGCAACAAATTCGCTAAAGGAATTTTGTCAGACTCTGAGCATCCACTGCAGTGCCCGTAGCTCCAACCTTGTGTTTCCTCAGGTAAAACGAGAAGTCTTTTCAGAAGACTTTATGCACGTACGTCTAAGTATAAAAATTCCACTATACCATATTTAGCACGTACTCTATGTGATGAAAACAGTGTCAGACATGAACTAACTAACCTTCTTTGCACTACTAAATAAACCATTTCCTTTACCCTTAAAGCATCATTGTTTATTGTTATTGTATTTCTTATATTTATAATCCTCTCGATTTTTTCGTTTCGTTAATTTTTTTCATAAGTGTGGACACGATTTTAAGCTGTATTATAACTGTTAATTTTGTATTTCCCCTCACTGTACTATATCAACAGAACTTTAGACCCAATAATCTATAACATGCTAAAGTTTCCAAACTGAATCGACAATACCGTTTGAAACAAACTCACTGTTATTATTATTATTATTATTATATCTGATAATTATGTCTTAAATGTGGACAAATTCCTCCGATTAATTTTGTTCTAATTTTTAATTTTATATATATTTTGAGTAAATCAGATGCAATATTGTGACAAATGCTGAGAATTCCATTCTGTATTATAAGTACTGTTTTTGGAATAAAGTAAATTATTATTATTATTACTGTTATTATCATTATTATTATTATATATACCACGGTGTAAAGGCGTGAAATATTGCTAGGTAAGAAAGCTAGTTTTAAGTAGACATTTTTTTCATCTATCCGTGTACAGAATTACTCCTCCAAGCTGAAATAATTCACGGGAATAGGTTATGAGGCGGAAAACTTTTCACTCTTACGTACACACACACACACACCCAATATCTCTTCTTCTAAAAACAAACAAACAATTCAGGATAACTGGCCACCTAGAATAAAACAGAAACTTGAATAGTTTTGTTACTATGACTATCACTGATAATTTTTGTTTCCCTCTATTCATACCTTTAAACTTAAACTTATAAGCCACTTTATCATGTATCAGGAAAAATAAAAATAAATTTTTTCTCTACACACAGTGGAAATTATTGCTATAAAAAGAATGAAGCTAAAACCACATATATATATATATATATATATATATATATATCAAAATAACTTACTCTCAGTAGCTGAAGAGGAATTCTTATGATCATTTAAAATTTTCTTGAAGTCTTTTGAATTTTTTAAGATTTGAGAAATACCCAAATTCTCTATCTCTTTGTCAAAATCTTTTGAGAACCAAAATGTTTTTGATATGACTTCAACTTGATAAAGAATAATAATAATAATAATAATGGTAATGATAAAATAAGTGAGAAAATTATAGGCGGCATTTTCAATTGAAATCAAATTCACAATTTGCAAATTAATTCACCATTTTTAGTTTACCCAGTTAATTTGGGGATGAAATTACACTGGAGTCTCTTTTAGCGATCGAAATTATTCAGGTCACCATATATGTGATCGTCGGCTTGATACCATAAATGACAGTCGAGAAGGCGGGAAGTATAAATGGATGACGCCATCTACTATTGATTACTTTGATTTGGTTATCAAGCACTACTAGTTGATGTGAGAGGTGGGTATCCAAATACGCACCGTCGTGCATTTTCAACCTTGAATTATTTTATTTAATTTAACTTAGACTTTCTCGTCGATTGATTGGACCAAAGTGCTCGGTCTCAGGTTGACATGTCGGCTGCTTGTGCAGACGCTTTAACAATGTCTGGTCGTGTAACTTGGAGTCAATTAGTGGATGGTGACTAGCAGTGGAATCCAGGATGCGCATTTCGTCACATTTGGGGCTCGTCATCTGGATGTACCTGCACTCCCCAATAGGCGATGGTGTTCCCACTGGGGCTCAAACCCAATACCCGTAGTTTCAAATGTCAAAGCGTTATCTACTAGACCGCTTGGGCCACGAGAGCTATCTCTTGTACAACGGGTATCAGTAATTACTTAATGCAATTTGGATTTTCCTGTTGACTGACTGAACCAAAGTGCTCGGTCTCGTGGCTCAAGCGGTCTAGCAGGTGATGCTTTAGCGTTTGAAACTATGGATACTTGGTTCGAGCCTCTCTGTGAACACTATCATTCACTGGGGAATGCAGGTACATTCAGATAACGAGTTGCAAATGTGACGAAATGCGCATCCTGACTGGATTCCATCGCTAGTCATCATCCACCAATTGAATTATTTCAGAAAACAAAAATAAATCTTATGACAAAAGAATATTTTCATATGTTTCCAAAGTAATAAAATTCAATTGAACTTGTTGGTATGGAAATTTACACAGTTCACTATGGATAATAGTAGTCTAGATTTTGTCATCGTTAAATACTGTTGAAGAAAATTCAGAAATATTGAAAGTAACTTGAAGTGAACAAGGGAATCACTATTTAATTCACTTCAATCCTTCAAGAAGTTAGGCAAAGCTTTTGTATTTTAATTAATTAGCAAATTTCACAAGGATATGTCAGTGCTGCATTTCATTTAAACGCAAAATTTAAAAAATCAAACAAATTATCCACACAGATGTTGTCAATCTGTTGGCAGTTAATGAACTACCTCTATGTAGGTATAATGGAATTACAGAAGTTTTAACATGAGGAACAGTTTTTAAATAAAGTTAAATTTAGGAAAGACATGTGGTGAGAGATGGCTGCTAGCCAAATTGGTAGACAGTTATTGACGTCAATGTTTATGTCTCAAATATTAGTCATGTGAAAACAAGGTCAAAGATGGACAGCAGACTTTGCGTAGGCGGATACAGTTAGCATATGGATGATCTGACACAGCCACAAAGAGATGCAAGGTTAACTTTCTGTGAGAAACAACCAGTCAAAAGACTGTATTTTCTACTGGCAATAATCTACAATAATGTACATTAAAATCTACAAATATGTGTTGATTTTCCTTAATAAACGATCTGTTGCCTGACTCTTGCCTTCTGTCGTTACAGACAATGGAAATAAAACTGATTGCCTAATCTCTTAATTAATTTAACCTATTACATATAAGAAAGTCAATATAATAACACAAATGTAGAAAACTGTTAATCATAGGTATAACTGTGGCAAGTGCTACTAACAAGATTTATCAGTAGTATATAGACGCAGATTGATAGGAAGCAGTCGAAATTGAAAACAACATTTTAAGTCAATAGCTGCAGAAACAGGAGTGAGTGTTCATTCCTCAAATTTGAATTTAGTTTACATTATGCCCAGGAGGAGATGATCTCATTGGACAACTTTTCGTCTCAAGGTCTAACCCTCGGAAAATGGACAACCAATCAGAACAGTTTATTATCCTCTGCTGACCTAGTCGACCTTTATTACGGCTAAAAATGTATAAATGTGGTGTATTTTTCCCTAATAATAAAAAAGTCCTTTACTAAGTCGCTTGTCTTCTCCAGTTACATAAGATCTGTGAATGTTGCGAAGAGTTTGTTATCCGACCAATAGATAAGGTGAATATTCTCTCTCTCTCTCTTGGTAAATGTTACTTACTTGGGCGTTTTGTAGTTGTTTCCATTGGGAAATATGTTTTCAGCATACCGTCTAAATCAGTATCCTTATCCAAAAATCGATCAATCTTTTTACTGCTGATTTTTACTGTCTTAGGCACAGTAAACAATGATGTTAGTGTTTCACTGTCATATTTATCTGTAGAAAAAAATTAATAATAATAGTTATTTTAGTTTAATTCAATTTAACCGATTTCTGCTTTTTTATCCTTTCAAATGACATCTAGCGAAGAAACATTTTTTGTTCACTTTCGATATTTGCGTAGAGTATTTTATACGCGGAATATGTTTTTCCACTTGTACCTATACAAAGTTGTCTACTCTCATTCGTATTCCATAATAAATAAGTTTATTTTAAATATCATACAGTGATGCAGTATGAACAACAGGATGACGTTTTAAGCATAAATTATTGCTCATAATCATATCAGTTTAGTCACACGGTTTCACAATTTGTCTCTCTCTTCTTGTCTCTCCAAATTCCCCTTGTTTTTTATTGCCACCTTCCATATCTCCGGTATAGGCTTTGCATCACCCTGTCCCACCCATCCTATTTTGTGATTACATGCAAGTGAATGCAGTGGAATGATTGAGCTCTGTTTTTTCTAGGTTATTTAACTTATCCGGGTCAATCATTCTAGATCCAGCTAAATTTTTCTATTCTAATAATTTAGTTGACCCTGATCTACTAGTTTAACCTCACGGTCATTATGTGGTATTTCGTGAATTATAGTTATTTTCCTCAATTGGATCTATTGGTTCCTTAGGCGAACAAAGTTTATCTTTGAGAGAGTTAGTTGGTTGGTTGCTTGGTTGGTTTAAATGCCACCCTGACTAATTCCAGTCTCGTTGAGAATCCTACGTAAGGCCTGTGACTTTCCTTCTGTATTTGGCAGTACTATTCCATTTTTGTTTTTGTCATTTTTTTGCTAACCTTAGTTTTTCTATGGTTCTGCATATATTTCTGAATAAATTCCGGTGGGTAGTTATTTTTTTTTATTCCTTCATGTTCCCAGTGGAACATAGGGCTTCAAGCTAGAGGCTTGTAGTTTCTGTAGCAGTGTTTATTTTTGCGGGATGGGGTTGCTAGCCTCATACCCAACCTTTCCCCCTTACCGGCTTTTATTACTGGCTTAGCGAGGTAAAGGAGTGCCTCGTTGGCCGGGAATCGAACCCCTGACCATGTGCATGGTCGGCGAGCGTCCTAACCACTTTGCCACCGACTCAAGGGTAGTTATTCACTAGTAGTACTTCCTTTATTTATTTGATTTCATCATTTAAATCTCTGGCTTACTGGTTGGGTTCCTGGCCCGATTATATATGTATATATATATATATATATCCTCGAAACCTTGCCATCCAGTTGTTAATTCTGCATCACTGTGTGGTATTTAAAAATCAACTTATCTAATAAGGGATTACATTCTACCACCACATTGCCCAAGTTCTTTACACTTACATTATGATATTCATATTACCATCTGGTTTCAGTCGATTGTATAACTGAGCATATAATTGGTATAATGAATTTTCAGTGCAAAATAAAGCCAATGCTACAATTATTTTTATAATGAATTGTTTTATGTTCTTGAATGTGATTACATCATCATAAAATAACATCGAAAACAGAAAATATGATAGTAAACCAAAAAAGAGAGAAAAATTACTAAACAACTGTTTCTTCCTAGTATAGAGCTTTTCATCAATATGTTGTACCTTTAGAAATCATTGGTCGTTTTGGATCATAACCGAGTAGTCGGATAGGTGTTGTTCCTTAACAAAAATTTAGTTCCAATGGTTCTCTAATCAGTGTCAGCTCGTAATGAAATCCTGTAACCACCAATCAATCAAATCCCCACAAGAAACAATACTTGCTTATATCAATGATATGCTCACTAGTGACTGGCCCTATTCAGGTAGATAGGTAGTTATTGGGGGTTCTAGTGCGAAGTCGTGACCAGTAGGGTACAACAGGTCGTGTGTGTGGGGATAAATACTCGTCGAAGACATTGGCTAGTGTTAGTCGCGCTATTTCGTGACTTGGCGGAATCTGGAATTCATGAACTGGACATTAGATCGGGCAGGTCCCAGTGGTTTAATGGTCTACCAGCTCTAGCTCGCCTTGTAAACAGAAGGCCATGGGTTTGAACCCCTGTGGGTGGTGCGTGCGTACTGATGAAGAGACCCAAACTGGGCTAGCGAAACAGCTGTCCAGTACTCCTTGCTGGTTTTCCAATGGCTGCCTAACCGATGTCAGCTTATGATGAAATCCTGTAACCAAAAATGCACTTAATTTCTGTTTTTTATTTATTGTTTTTGTACTAGCTACGTAATTAAGAGAAAAAAAAATAAAGAAAGAGAATAAAATGTAATATTCTACTATACATTATCATACTTACAATCACTATTGCTGGAATTGTCTTTTAGACTATTTTTGAAAAGTTCTTCAATATTTGTTTCTTTATTGATGTAGTTGAGTAAATCTTTATCAGTTACATTCTTGTTACCCAATTTAACAACCCATGTTGTTTCAATAATTTCATCATCATCTGAAATAAAGAAAAAGATATATATATATATTCAAAGCATTTATTAGTTGAAGGAATTTGAAATACAAATTCTGAATGAATGATAGAGAATTATAAATTTTTATGATAAAAATATTTAGTGAATTAAACTTCAAACATTCACATGTGTTATAGCCTATTACTGATAAGTATTCAACCTTACTGAAATCATTTGTCGTTTCACCGATTATATAAGATCAATAAGTGAGCATGTACAAATGCTCGTTCACATTTCAGTGTAGATTAATGCAAAGTATCTCATTTAGAGAACCATTGGAAACCAGCTGGGAGTACTGGACAGCTGTTTCATCAGGAGTATGGATGGATTTCCCACCGATGACATTGGTTGGTGGTCGTGTTAAAAATCACGAATTGGTAGAAGCTAGAATTCATTGGCTAGCCAGTGAATCGGATCCCAGTGGCTTAATGGTATACAAGCTTGCCTTGTAACCAGAAGGTCCTGGGTTCGAACCCTGGCAGTGGGCGCATACTGCTGATGATTCCCAAGGTAGGATGAAACAGCAGCTGTCCAGTACTCTCTGGTGGTTTTCAATGATTGTTTTCATCTGACATGACGGATAACATTTTAAGGAATAAAGATATGGTTCTAACTAAAGGCGACGGCATCGTCCTGATGAATCGCCAAGACTACGTCGATAAAATGTTATCCGTCATGTCAGATGAAAACGAATTCCCAAGAAGAAAGTAACCAGAAAGACCAAACAGAACAAATTGAAAGGAAGATAATACAAATGCTGAAGAATATGAAGAACGAATCGAACGAATCAGGCTTCAATTATTTGAGCAAATACAACCCACAGGTTCCTCAATTCCCCGGTTATATCTCCGGTCTACCGAAAGTGCACGAAAAGAACGTACGACTACATACAATCTTGGATATTACAAATTCCCCATATCATGCTACTGCTAAATGGCTTGCAGAAGTCCTCCTACCTATCAGAAATAAATTATATTTTTTTACTACTATTCATTAGAATAATTTATGTAAAATCTACCTACTGCAATTGTGTTTAACAGGTAAGAAAAAAATAGAAAAATTGTGACAGTTAAATTTTCACTTACAATATTCAGCATTGGATCCGGATGGAGATTTTTCTCGATATTGAACTGTTTTCCTCATTAATGGATTAAACTCATTTTCTGTTTTCTTCACAACCGGTTTTACTTTCTTTGGTTGTTGTGTTGGTTTTATTGTTGTTGTCAATTCCTCTGAGTAATCATCATAATAATCAATTTCATCAGTTGCAGCTAAATGAAGAGACAAAAATTTACTCAATTTTAAAATGACTATAAAATTATCCTTATAAAAAGTAATATGTTTCCGGCAGATCATTTTTAGATAGCCTATTCATCAGTTAAAATATTCATATATATACATAATACGTTTAAAAGTTATTTAATTTTAGTTAACTAGAAGCAAGTGTCTATATCTATGCTCAAGAATGTAGTGGAATAGAAAAATTTCCATTTGTCATCAGTAGGCAAAATGTCACAGGAACAGCAACAAGCACCATCACCATCAAAGAGAGAGATTTGCCAGAGGTTACCGCCTTTACTTGTCTAGTAAGCATCGTTTGAACTACAGGCGGAAAGGATGAAGATGTCAAAGAATCGGAAAAGCATTTCCAACAGGTTGCAAACGTTTAGCAACAGCTGCCACCTTCACTAGCTGGTTCCATACTGAAGATCAAATGGCCACCTCGTCAGAAAGAATTAGCAACAAGCAACTCTGGTTGGGAAAAAACCTACCAAGAGCCGATTGCTTAATAAATATATAGGAGAAAATGAAGATGGATAGGCGGAATAGGTTGATGAGGCCATCGAATGAGGCCATTGATAGATTGGAATCCCAATGGGAAGTGACGAGTGTGTCATTGGTGCAGAGATGTGAAACGGTGGAGATCGCTTGATACGGAGGAGGTCAGTACTTACAGGCAATCTTGGTTCCGAATGTTCACGGAAAAACGTCCAACAGAATGCTTAGGAAGAATTTGTACGAAGACAAGATGTGTGTGGTACACTTGGAGATGTTGGCGTGAGTGTTCCATCTGTGTTGCTGGTGGCGTTGATGACTAGTCCGAATGATGGTGTGAGTCGGTGTGTGGTTGAGTGTTGTCGATGCAGGCGATGTGAGGATTCTAGGTGGAAGTGAGAAGGATTTCGTCTTCCTCTCAAGGAAGTGCTGTAACGATGTGAGAGTGGAGCGTGATTTGGATGGCCCATTTGTGTAGGTGTAGATGGAGATGAATTTGCGTGTGAGACTTACGTGTTGGGGAGTCGGTGGGTGACGTGGGTCCGGCTGATTTGTCTGCCGGTCGACGTCCATGTCGAGGCCGTCTTCTTCTCTTGCCCGACTTGTCAATGTAGTAGATGTAGAGGTCGTCGTCCTCTGGTGTAGTGCTTGAAGGCTCTCCACTGGCTGTTGTTCGCCCACCTCCTGCAAGAAAAGAGAGGAGAAGACAAGGGATGAGTGAGCGTGATGATGTGTGCAGGAGTGTAGTGTGAGGCTGTGAGAGTGAGTGTGGCAGTATGTCTGATGAGAAGTGTTGACGTGTGTGAGATGTCGTCCGCCTTGATATATGAGAGAAGATGACGATCGGAGTGATGAGGTGAGATGGGACTGGATGAGATGAGATTGGTCACGATTCGAGTGTTGGCGCTGTGTGATACTGTGTTTCAATGAGGCGATCGACGAAGTGTGGCGCGTCAGCGTCTCCTGTCATCACCCAAATCAGTGATGAGTGAGTCAGTGAAGACAGGTGTTCCGTGTGAGACAGGCTTGTTCGACACAGCACATGACAGGTGTGCTTGTCGAATGACGTTCATCAGGAGTTGTGCGGTGAGATACGAGTGGAGTCTGTGATGTTGTGTGTTGACGACGTTTCAATTGGTGTATTGTGACTGTGTGCGTGCGTGTGTGTGTGAGTGAGAGTGAGAGTGAGAGAGAGAGAGAGAGTGAGAGTTGGAGTGAGTGTTTGGGTGTGATTGTTGAGGATGAATTTGTGGGTAGTGAAGATGTGTGGTGTTTTGAATAGTATTGAGAGGTATGTTGATGGGATGAGTGTTTGTGTGTGTGATTCTGGTTGTGGAGGCGTGTGAGTGTGATGTTGAGCGTGGGTGTGGCGCGTGGTGTATTGAATGATAGAAGAGGTGTTGGAGTGGGTGAATGGGAGTGTGAGTCAGCGAGTGGATGTGTGGCGGGTTCGAAGTGGATTCGTGCAGTTGTGGTTGTGTGTGTGTGTGTGTGTGTTTGTGTGAGGTAGTGGGTGAGTGAGTGAGCAGGAGATGTTGGCGTGAGTGTTCCATCTGTGTTGCTGGTGGCGTTGATGACTAGTCCGAATGATGGTGTGAGTCGGTGTGTGGTTGAGTGTTGTCGATGCAGGCGATGTGAGGATTCTAGGTGGAAGTGAGAAGGATTTCGTCTTCCTCTCAAGGAAGTGCTGTAACGATGTGAGAGTGGAGCGTGATTTGGATGGCCCATTTGTGTAGGTGTAGATGGAGATGAATTTGCGTGTGAGACTTACGTGTTGGGGAGTCGGTGGGTGACGTGGGTCCGGCTGATTTGTCTGCCGGTCGACGTCCATGTCGAGGCCGTCTTCTTCTCTTGCCCGACTTGTCAATGTAGTAGATGTAGAGGTCGTCGTCCTCTGGTGTAGTGCTTGAAGGCTCTCCACTGGCTGTTGTTCGCCCACCTCCTGCAAGAAAAGAGAGGAGAAGACAAGGGATGAGTGAGCGTGATGATGTGTGCAGGAGTGTAGTGTGAGGCTGTGAGAGTGAGTGTGGCAGTATGTCTGATGAGAAGTGTTGACGTGTGTGAGATGTCGTCCGCCTTGATATATGAGAGAAGATGACGATCGGAGTGATGAGGTGAGATGGGACTGGATGAGATGAGATTGGTCACGATTCGAGTGTTGGCGCTGTGTGATACTGTGTTTCAATGAGGCGATCGACGAAGTGTGGCGCGTCAGCGTCTCCTGTCATCACCCAAATCAGTGATGAGTGAATCAGTGAAGACAGGTGTTCCGTGTGAGACAGGCTTGTTCGACACAGCACATGACAGGTGTGCTTGTCGAATGACGTTCATCAGGAGTTGTGCGGTGAGATACGAGTGGAGTCTGTGATGTTGTGTGTTGACGACGTTTCAATTGGTGTATTGTGACTGTGTGCGTGCGTGTGTGTGTGTGAGTGAGAGTGAGAGAGAGAGAGAGAGTGAGAGTTGGAGTGAGTGTTTGGGTGTGATTGTTGAGGATGAATTTGTGGGTAGTGAAGATGTGTGGTGTTTTGAATAGTATTGAGAGGTATGTTGATGGGATGAGTGTTTGTGTGTGTGATTCTGGTTGTGGAGGCGTGTGAGTGTGATGTTGAGCGTGGGTGTGGCGCGTGGTGTATTGAATGATGGAATAGGTGTTGGAGTGGGTGAATGGGAGTGTGAGTCAGCGAGTGGATGTGTGGCGGGTTCGAAGTGGATTCGTGCAGTTGTGGTTGTGTGTGTGTGTGTGTGTGTTTGTGTGAGGTAGTGGGTGAGTGAGTGAGCAGGAGATGTTGGCGTGAGTGTTCCATCTGTGTTGCTGGTGGCGTTGATGACTAGTCCGAATGATGGTGTGAGTCGGTGTGTGGTTGAGTGTTGTCGATGCAGGCGATGTGAGGATTCTAGGTGGAAGTGAGAAGGATTTCGTCTTCCTCTCAAGGAAGTGCTGTAACGATGTGAGAGTGGAGCGTGATTTGGATGGCCCATTTGTGTAGGTGTAGATGGAGATGAATTTGCGTGTGAGACTTACGTGTTGGGGAGTCGGTGGGTGACGTGGGTCCGGCTGATTTGTCTGCCGGTCGACGTCCATGTCGAGGCCGTCTTCTTCTCTTGCCCGACTTGTCAATGTAGTAGATGTAGAGGTCGTCGTCCTCTGGTGTAGTGCTTGAAGGCTCTCCACTGGCTGTTGTTCGCCCACCTCCTGCAAGAAAAGAGAGGAGAAGACAAGGGATGAGTGAGCGTGATGATGTGTGCAGGAGTGTAGTGTGAGGCTGTGAGAGTGAGTGTGGCAGTATGTCTGATGAGAAGTGTTGACGTGTGTGAGATGTCGTCCGCCTTGATATATGAGAGAAGATGACGATCGGAGTGATGAGGTGAGATGGGACTGGATGAGATGAGATTGGTCACGATTCGAGTGTTGGCGCTGTGTGATACTGTGTTTCAATGAGGCGATCGACGAAGTGTGGCGCGTCAGCGTCTCCTGTCATCACCCAAATCAGTGATGAGTGAATCAGTGAAGACAGGTGTTCCGTGTGAGACAGGCTTGTTCGACACAGCACATGACAGGTGTGCTTGTCGAATGACGTTCATCAGGAGTTGTGCGGTGAGATACGAGTGGAGTCTGTGATGTTGTGTGTTGACGACGTTTCAATTGGTGTATTGTGACTGTGTGCGTGCGTGTGTGTGTGTGAGTGAGAGTGAGAGAGAGAGAGAGAGTGAGAGTTGGAGTGAGTGTTTGGGTGTGATTGTTGAGGATGAATTTGTGGGTAGTGAAGATGTGTGGTGTTTTGAATAGTATTGAGAGGTATGTTGATGGGATGAGTGTTTGTGTGTGTGATTCTGGTTGTGGAGGCGTGTGAGTGTGATGTTGAGCGTGGGTGTGGCGCGTGGTGTATTGAATGATAGAAGAGGTGTTGGAGTGGGTGAATGGGAGTGTGAGTCAGCGAGTGGATGTGTGGCGGGTTCCCAGTGGATTCGTGCAGTTGTGGTTGTGTGTGTGTGTGTGTATTTGTGTGAGGTAGTGGGTGAGTGAGTGAGCAGGAGATGTTGGCGTGAGTGTTCCATCTGTGTTGCTGGTGGCGTTGATGACTAGTCCGAATGATGGTGTGAGTCGGTGTGTGGTTGAGTGTTGTCGATGCAGGCGATGTGAGGATTCTAGGTGGAAGTGAGAAGGATTTCGTCTTCCTCTCAAGGAAGTGCTGTAACGATGTGAGAGTGGAGCGTGATTTGGATGGCCCATTTGTGTAGGTGTAGATGGAGATGAATTTGTGTGTGAGACTTACGTGTTGGGGAGTCGGTGGGTGACGTGGGTCCGGCTGATTTGTCTGCCGGTCGACGTCCATGTCGAGGCCGTCTTCTTCTCTTGCCCGACTTGTCAATGTAGTAGATGTAGAGGTCGTCGTCCTCTGGTGTAGTGCTTGAAGGCTCTCCACTGGCTGTTGTTCGCCCACCTCCTGCAAGAAAAGAGAGGAGAAGACAAGGGATGAGTGAGCGTGATGATGTGTGCAGGAGTGTAGTGTGAGGCTGTGATAGTGAGTGTGGCAGTATGTCTGATGAGAAGTGTTGACGTGTGTGAGATGTCGTCC